TGACAGTTTTTATACTGCTAAGGTTGGGTGGGGGAGTGGGCAAGTGGAAACAAAGGGAAGGTTAGAGCAGGACTTTCCAAAGCTGGAAGCTGAGACCCAAGTGGAGTTGCATCTTATATTTTGGGGTCATGAGCAATGAGGCAGAAATAGCCTCCATGGAGCTCTGACCAAGTTATAACAGCTGTCCACTCCGCTCTAGTAGTTCTCACTGAGGAGTAGTGACGATTTCCAAGCCTTTGAATTGGGTCACGGAGGGAAAGCATTTAGCAAGCATGAGGTTAGGGGTAGTCTCTCTCAACTTAAAATCTTGTCGTGATTGTCTCACTTGTTCCACTATCTTTCCCTTTTCAGTAACATTAAAAGAAATTCCCATTTTAACCCCTTTTCAGTTCTGAGATATAGAATCCCTATAGTGTGGAAACAGGCCCTTTGGCCCAACAAGTCCACACTGACCCTCAGAGCAACCCACCCAGACCCATCCCCCTATAATCCACCTAATCTATACATCACTGAACACTACGGGCAACTCAGCTTGGCCAATCCACCTAGCCTGCACATCTTGGACTGTGGTAGGAAACCCACACAGACATGGGGACAATGTGCAAACTCCACACAGACAGTTGCCCGAGGGTGGAATTGAACCTGGGTCCCTGGCGCTGTGAGGCAGTAGTGCTAACCACTGAGCCACCATGTCGCCCCTCACTTGCTCTACCCCACCCAACCTTCCACATCAATAAACCTTCAAGGCTTCTGTGCTGCCTCCTTATTCCTTTGGTACACCTCACCACTTTGTCCCCACATGGACCAACACTAACACCCATGCCACCCATTGTAATCTCATTCATTTCCCCTCCTTCTGTTCATTACAGAAGAAGACAGCCCATACCAGGCAGAGCGAGCCTGTCCAGATGGAGGGGTGCCTGACATTCAAGTCCTCATCTCTTACAAAGACAGAATCTTTGCCTCATGGGAGATGTCTGGATCTGCTCCTGCAGGGATGTAGAAATATCCATGTCCTGCCAAATAAGGAAGAACCACTCTTCATTTCACTGCAATTCTCACAGTAAACTTGCTGTCACTCCTAATCATTGCACATCAGTTCTAACTACTGACCACAATGCTTTCTCTCTCTCTCTTTGTCTTGCAGGTTCCAGTTGCCTGCACTCAATCTCTGCAGAGAAGCCCCATCTTCGCCCTCTGGGGAGGAGAGTAATAAGGCCCCACAGAGGAAGCTTTGGCAAAGCTGACTTCAGCATCCCCCCACCAACCCAGAGATTAGCATCCCAGTGTGAACTGTAGACATAGAGAGTGCGGGTACACCAGCTGGTGAGCTCCATAGCCCCAAGCCGCTGGGTCTTGGAGGACTGCTGGAAACCAGCACCCACTCATCTCCAGGCAGGAGAGGACTCCATAATGTCAGCATTCAGGGACTTCATCCAAATGCTCTGCTGGCGCAGCAGTGGCCGACAGCGATCTGGGATGCAATGGGCTTAATTTCTGCATCATGCAGCAAATCATGCCACTGTCTGGCTGCCTCCATGGACAGGATGGTGGTTTCCATGGAGTGACAGAGCCAGCATCCTCAGTGGCTGCTGGAGATGTGTTCACACCTGCAAGTCCATCACCTCAACCCTTTGGATTCCAGAACAGAAGGCATGGTGACAGGGGCTGGAGATCCTTAACACCAAACCAACTGCTCCTTCCCTACAAGGAGACAGGGCAGAGCCAGGAGGCACTCAGCTGCAAGTGGAACCGTATACACACACAGGCCCCTCTGCACTTTGCACTCAGAACCCTGCAAAGGTGGCTAGGGCTTCCATCTCCACCCTGCCTGCTCCCCTCCAACTCTTGGAGGCAGAAGTCAAGGATGGCCAACTTGCCTCTGGCAAGAAGACCAGTAGCATGTCTGGCGTCCCTGGACATAAGTACTCCTGGGATCCCCACCAAAGTTACAAAGCCAATAGGCTCTACTCCCTAGCAGGCTTTCTGTACCCAGTAGTGGAACTGATGATGATACTGTATTGTAGTGGGAGGGGAGAAAGAGGAAAACCATTTGAGTGCATTTTGGTGGTAGAGGTAAAAGGGGCTTGTATGTCCCAATCAGTTTCACTCATGGAATATTGGTGTTGCTGGCTGGCCAGCATTTAATGCTCATCTCTAGCTGCTCTTGAACTGAGTGACTTGCTAGGCCAATTTAGAGAGCAGTTGAGAGTCAATCACATGACTGTGGGTCTGGAGTCACACAAATGCCTAAGTAGGTGAGGGTGAAAAATTTCCTTCATTCACATTAGTGAGCCAGATGGGTTTTTCTGACAATTGACAATAATTTCATGATCATCAGCTGATGCTTAATTCCATTTTTTTCCCTAATTCAATTCAAATTCCACCATCTGCCATTAGCTGAATTTCTGGATTAACAGTCTAGTGATAATTCTGCAGGGCATTGCCTTCCCTCTATCTCTCTGTGTAAGCACTAAACTCGTCTTCACACCATCCGGCAGCATTTCATGGCCACAGATGAGGCTTTTATAGATGAAGGTCTGTGCTGAGAGCCTATTGCACCATCTGGAAGCAATGGGGAAAATGCATATACCTGGTATTCGCTCATGATGACACCGTTCAACATCCTTAATGTTTTGCTCCCTCTGTGCACAAAGGTGTAGCTGTGATTGAGTTGTCTACCTTACAGAGAGGCTCAATGCTGTAGGATGGCTAGGAGCAAGCAGCTTGCATGTCTTTGTGCTGTACATTACATGGGCCTGTGTCCAATGTTATTTCATTTTTAGAACCCTCTGATCAGTGTTTATTGCAGCCTCATCCTTCAGAAGTGAAGTCATTTACCTACGCACTCCAAGTGTACTTGCAGCCATTTACTTCCCCATTGCACACCTTAGAATAGCATCACGATGGAAGGTGACAGTGAGTGCTGGTCTTCCAGCTTCCACCTGAACGTGCCAGTGAGCCCCCAGATATCCACATCATCTTCTTAGCAGTCCATCCCAAAAACTCCACCAGTTTCAAACTTCTCCAGGCTCCCCACCCAACTTGTCATTATGCACTTACACCTATCCACCTTCTCCACAAAGTCCCTGAGATGAGAAGTGACCATGCCAGACATATTCATTCACTGCCCCAATACCCCTGGAAGCCAGGATGTTCCCAACTGTGAACATCACCCCCTCCCACATTAAACCCTTCCTGGTCAAGCCTGCCCAGAACTTACATCCCCCAGTCCAAAGGCTGACCTGCTGAGGCTCAGTCCTAAAGGCCACAATTGCATCCCCCACCCACCCCATTCCCTTTCCCCTAAGTTTCTGTGGACAGCCAGAACAGACAGACCATGGCCCACCCTCTCAACTGGCATGACTGAATAGCCCGGGGCAAGCTGTGTCCATACTGATGTTTGTATGTACCCCAGATCATGTTAGTATTGCAGCCCCAAGATTTGCTATGGAACGAATGGGCTGACTGTGACCCACTCGTTGGTCTGCAGAAGCCAAGACCTCAGCCCCAATCCCCATCCCCACCCCCCCTACTGCAAACACCCCAACAGGACATTTGACCTTGACCAATTCCTTGGACTGGTATCAAAGGCTGCCCTTGACGTAACGTCCCCACGCCCTGACGGATGGGCGACTCCAGGGAGTTAGAGTGAGGTCTCCTCCCTAAGACACTGAGATTGGCTGCACACTTTTTTCATGTGCAGTGTGTTTGTCGCATAAACTCACTGGCACATTCCAAGCTCCAGGTGCGGAAGGACGTACTAAAGCTTGGGGCAGCCGCCACCAAGGCGCAGTGGGGAAAGGCCACTGTCTGTGGCCTTTCTGTCGAAGTTAAAAGGGGGTCTGTTTAGTTATCGGACCCTGCTGGTGCCTCAAATGTATGTAAATGTAGTCTGGTAAAAGTAAGGAATGCCTTGCATTTGTTCTCCATATGTTAAGGCTGTACAGAACGGAACTGCTCTAGTGACTACGTATGGATATGAAGCTTTTTGTGAATAAAGAATATTTTTGAAATAAAAACTGCTGCCACATGGTGCAGGTTTGAGATTGATGTGAACACACTGCCATACGGCGAGATACGTACTCCTTAGACTGAGGATGCATCGTGACAGAGCAAGCTGCCTGTTTCCGTGACTGCGTTAATTGTCCAGGCAAGGCGAGGATGCAGTGGGCACGCAGGGTAGGCGCTAGGGGAGTGAACGTAAAAAAGAGCATGTCAGCATCCGACAGATGCAGCCCGGTCCAGTGTGTGAGCAGGGTACCTGTCCCTGTATGCAATGTTAATGCTGGAGCCTGGTGTGGCCTGCAATACCAGCGGACAGTAGACGTGTCAGGATGGTCATGACAGGGTAGCAGATGCCAGTGTCTATGGACAGAGTCTGTATGTACCTGGTGCCTGTGGATCATGCCCTGAGGTGCTGTTCCCAATGCCCAGCATGGAGGTCATTTGGAGCAGGTGGTGAGCTGAATCTGCCAGGTACACGCTCTGGTTTCCTTACCGGGGTTTCCCGACACCAAGCATGTTTGTTGAGTTTGGTAAGATGGGAGTCTGAATATTAATGAGGTGACTTATGGTTTTAACAAGCTGTTTAACAAGTGTTAAATCGCCTTCAATTGCCATCTCGCCGATGCCGAGCGAAAATCTTGCCACGCCGCTTGTGAAAAGCATAAAAAGATGATGAGAGATGTTCTGGATGTCGAGATGGGTGTGTCTGGACTTCTCTGATTCTGCCACGCCTCCCCACCACATCACTCAGACTCTGCCAGATTCCTCCAGACAGGTTAAAGTTTGATCTTATGTAGAGTGTTGCATTCTCAGTCTGTGTGTGTGAGAGAGAGGAAGTGGAGGCTTTTTTTTAAGTCAATCCTTGCAAAGGAGACACAGCGTTGGCAAGTGTCAGACTGAGATGGAGAGAGGAAGAAACAGAAGTTAAGAGCCGGAGTTCCAGGAAGATGCCAGTGAGGAGTGGAATGTGAGAATCTGCAGACCAACAACAACAGGAGAAGGCAGTGCAGAGCTTAGCTTAGCACCTTACCATAAGCTCTGCCCTAGTGTGTGTCTGAGCCAGTGTAGCCAAGGCCCGGACAGATGACCACGGGCAGCGCCAGAGCCTCGGCCACGATGTAAAAGAGGCGGAAGTCAAAGGGGTGGGGGAGCTGGGGGAGACATCCTGAGCTCTGGGAGAGCGGCGTTGTCTGGGACGAGAGAAGGGCAGGCAGCAGGCTCGGGGGTGAGCGGAGAGATGGAGAAGGGGGTGTGGGTGACTGCACTCAGCCTGTTCCTCAGCGGCTCCGCTCTCTTGTTGCTGACCACGGCGATCTTCACTGACCACTGGTACGAGATGGACACCCGGAGGCACAGGGCGGACTGTGAACGCGCTCCTATCCCGGGGGCCAGCGGCGGTGAGCGCAGGCGGGTCATGCCCATCTCCAACCTGCCACTGAGGGAGCGCGGCAAGCCCGAGGAGCCAGCCCCTGGACCCCGGGGCCCTCTCAAAGCCCTGGCCCCGCTCACTCCGGGCCCGGGCCCGGCCGGCGAGCAGGAGCTGCTGGAAAGCTGGCACTCGGTGCTGGGGCTCGGCGTCTTCGAGTCGGACTGCGCCCGTCCTCTGTTCGCCACTTACACAGGGCTGTGGAGGAAATGTTACCACACGGGCATCGACCGAGACATTGACCAGCTCATTTCCAAGGGTAAGATTCAGGAGCTCATGACCCTGAGCAAAACCGGATAGACCTTTTCAAGTCGGTTTGTTTTCAATTAAAATAAACGAATAGAAGTGGTGGATTTAGCAAAGCGAGATCAGTTTTTTTGTTAGGAGCCGTTGAATGCGTATAGATCTCTTGTGTGGTCTTTGAATAGGAAATATCCATCCCTCTTGTCATTAGGGGGCAAAGAATTGGCTTGGGGAAAATCCCCTCGTCTGGGCGAAATGAGCCTTTTCCTCCCGATTTTAATTTTGGATTCAAGGACATGTTTCTCAAACGAACAAGGAGACGCAAGAATTACGCTTCAAGCTAGGCGTTAGTGAGTTTTGAATCTCATTCAGTGTTCTTGACTACCCGTGTGCATTTTTTTGCTACATCTTTCCCCAAAAGAACGTGTCAAAATGATCTGAAATGTCATAATTTCAGTTGATTTGTGGGGATCGGTTTGCGCCCACGAGAGTTCGATACAGAATAAAGACTGTAATTTTTAAAAACACCCTTTGCAGCCAGCCAAGTACTTATTGAAAATGAGTTCACTGTTAGAAGAAATTCTGTCAACAATTTGTGCACAGCAACGATCTCTTTAGGTGTGCATGGGAAACAATAGATTGACCCAGATCTCGAGAGATTTAACTCTCCCGTTCTGCATCCAATAGAACCTTAACATCTCCTGTTCAAATCCCCAGCATGGGACTTCACACAAAGTGAGAGTGTTTCTGCTGAGCCAAGACTCGCACTTGTAAAGCAGCTTATCACCTGTCCTTTTTTTTTATCCCGAGTGTGAAATCTGTTACATTTGAGCTGTCGTTAGTTGCGTTCCTTTTGAATTTTGTGGAATTTCTATCTGCCTCGACTGGAACTCCCCCGACATGCAGTTGTACCTTGACAGCAGAGGCTTGAGCGTCCCAAGCACTTAGTCTGTGTTTATTTTCAGTTGGCTGGCATTTGAGAATGAATGTAGCATAGGGTTGAGTTAACAAGGACGTAACAGGCAAAAATATTGTTCCATATTGGCAACATATAATGCATTTTTTTTATTCATTTGGCTGGAAAACAGTTATATCACATCCAAGAAAAAAACAATGTTGACAGTGCAACACTCTCTGAAGGCTGGATTAAATACTTAAATCCTAGAATAGAGTTTGAAACCAATACCTTCAGATTCAGAGGGAGGAAGTGCTATCACTGAGTTAACGCTAAGACCTTTACAATAGCATAATAATATAAAACAACTGCTATTGTTGGACATCTGAAACAAAAACAGAAATTGCTGGAGAAACTCAGCACCTTTGGCAGAGTTAACATTTCAGATCCGGTGACCCTTCTTCACAACCTCTTCAGAAGAAAGGTCACTGGACTCAAAACGTTAACCCCACCTTTACTATAACAGTTCATTCTCCGATGTTTGTTGAGACACAATTAGATAATTCAGTGGAATATTTTGGGATTTTATGTGACTGACTTACACCATCATTTCACTTAGTGGCCTTACATAACCTGAGACAATTTCAAATCATTTCTGATAGAACACAAATCTGGCTTGCAAAAGATTCCTAATTCAATACAACTGACTCTGACTTGCCAAGTTTGGTTATTGAAATCAGATGCTTGCCTCTATGGAAAATCTGACAACAAAAATCAAGCTGGTGAAATAAGGCGTAGAGTTAAGATGTAACTGGGGAAGAATTGTTCAAGTCTCTATCAGCAGTGGCCAAAGCTAATTCTTTAATTCTTGTCCACATTACATGTGTTTTGCATGATCTGGTAGCATTTAATGCCAATACATGCTACCAAAAGTGGAAAATCTTCCATTCCTCACTTTAGACACCTCAGCTGTCAATTCATGTTGTGCCTTTAAGTCTTACTCCAGAGACCAGAGTCTAAGTGCTGTACTGAGGGAGTGCTGTTGTGTCAGAGGTGCCATAGTTCAGTTGAGTTGTTAAGTTGAAATCCCACCTGTCTTCTAAGATGGATGTAAAATATCCCACAGTATTAGCCAAACAAGACCAAGAGTGTTGCCCAATCTCGTTGTCCGTAATCATTAGATTACTGGGATGAGAGTGTTTTCCTTCGTTTTGAGAGGCTGAGTAAATTGGACCTAAACATATTGGAGTTCAGAAGAATGAGGGATGATCACAACGAAACATACAACATTCTGAAGCAGCTAGTCAGAATAGACACTGAGGTTGCTTCTGCCACCTGGAGAATCCAGAACATCAGGGAACAGTATCAGAAAAAGGGGATGATCAATTAGGATTGAGATGCAGAGAAATTTCTTCACACATGGGTTGTGAATGTTTGGAATTCCCTACCTGAGAGGGTCGTGGATGGTCCATTATTAAATATATTTGAAGCCGAGGCTGTCAGAAATTTGATCACCCCGGCAATCAAGGGATTTGGTGAATTGATGGAGAATTAACTGATGGTTAAGCCAGAAGACCAGCATGTTCTTCTTGAATGGCAGAGTAGACTCTAAGGGTCACATGGTCTACTCCAGCTCCTATTTCTTATGTCCTTGTGAGTTTATCCTTCAACCTATATCCTTCAACCCTAGACTTTTTCCTAGAGTGGAGGTAGCTATTACGATGGGGCATAATTTTAAAGTGGGTGGAGGTAGATATCGGGGAGACGTCAGAGTTAGGTTCTTTACTCAGAGAGTGGTCAGGACGTGGAATGCATTGCTGGAGAGGGTAGTGGAGTCGGCCTCATTAGGGGCATTTAAGCAGCTATTAGATAGGCATAGGGATGATAGTATAAGGTAGGAGTGGATGTTAGATAGACCTTAGGATTAGGGTAAAAGTTCGGCACAACATCGTGGGCCGAAGGGCCTGTACTGTGCTGTACTGTTCTATGTTCCATGTTCTATATTCATCCCTAAACTAGCACCACAAATTGACAATTATTTTTTCCTACATTATAACGATGTTTGCATTTTAAGAAGTATTTAAACAGTTTGATAAGGCTGTGAAGTCCTGAAACAGCACAAACAAAACTTGTATTCATACACCAGTTTTAACATAGTAAATATTTCAGACATCTGCATGGAAATGTTAAAAAACAATGTTTAACATGAAGCAATGTAAGAAGATGTAGAACAGCAGTCTAAAAGATTGATCAAAATATTTGGATTCAAGGAGAAGAGATAAAAAAACAGAAGCAGAGACTTTTAAAGACACAGTGCCACAACTTGGAGCCTGGGCATTGGAAGCACAGCCACCACTGATGGAGAGATTAAAATCAGGGATGCCAAAGAATTCAAGGAATGTAGCTGCCTCAAATGGTTGTGGAGCTGGAGGAGGTTACAAAGATAGAGAAAAATAAACAGTCTGTCTCCTTGGGGTTCCTGATGCCATGTCCCCCTCCCCACCCACTTCCGGGAAGATCTTATTTAACCTGGTGTGGACTCTTTTCCCCATTAGCAACTCTACTGCAGCTATCCCTGTAGTTGCATGATGGGTGGTCTGATAATCAAACAGAAACCAGGACAGTTTGGTATCTAGTGAAATTGTAGGCTGTTTCTTCAAGCCTACCTTCAAAGTTTGAACAGCTCTTTCAGTCAGACCATTGGATGATGGATAGTATGGAGCTGTCCTTATATGTCAAATGCCATTCAACTTTAGGAATTACTCAAATTCTCTGCTGGTAAATAATAGCCTGTTGTCTATGACAACTTCTGGGAGCGTGGGAGCCATGTATTACAAAAGATGCTCACAGGTTTTCTATTGTTGTCGCTGTGTTGACGAATGAACTCTATGCATGTCCAACCACTTTGAGTGACATCCACAATGACTAAGAACATTGAGCCCATGAAAGAGTCAGCATAGTCACCGTGTAACCGAGTCCAGGATTTACCCAGCTATTCCCACGAATCTGTGGGAGCTGCTGGCGGTAATTTTTGTCTTTGTTGCCACTCTGGGTACCGCTCCACCAATGCGGCTATGTCTGCAGTCAGTCCAGGCCACCAGACATAACCTGTCACCAACATCTTCATTTTTGACACCCCTAGATGACCCTGGTGGAGTTCAGCCAGTATCTGGTGGCAACCTTTGCTCAGGACAATCACTCTTGCTCCCCAGAATAAAAGGCCTCCTCTACAGTGATCTAGTCTCACCAGGTCCAGAAAGGTTTCAATTCTGGCTGCAATGGCCCTTTTGCTCCCCCATCACCACCAGCTGTTTTGATTTTGCCAGGACCTGATCTTTTTGTGTCCACAGTCTGATATTGTCAGTGGTGACCAGTAGAGTATCCAGTAAGTTTAAAACCAGAACGGACTCTTCCAGCGGTGGCACCGGATGGCGTATCTGCCAGTGGGAGGTGGCTCAATGCATTCGCATTTACTGCCTGTCCTCCCGGATGGTGTTCCAACTTACAATTGTACGCACCATTGAATTCAACCTGAAGCTATGAGCAACACAGCCTTTTCCTCTTTGAGTAGCCCTAGCAGGGGTTTGTGGTCTGTTACTATTACAATTTTACATCTGCAAAGGTATTAGTGGAAATTTCTCACACCAAAGATGACCGCTGAATCTTCCTTCTCTATTTGATATTTGCATTCTGCATCAGCCAAAGTCCAGGAAGCATATTGCTACTGAGTGTTCATCTCCATCGGGCCATCTGTGAGCCAACAATACCCCAATACTGTATGGAGAGGCATTGCATGTCAGCACTAGAACTCACTTGGGATCGTAGCATGCCAACACCTAAGACGATGATAGCTGCTTCTTAACTTCCCTAAAGGCTACGTGTTAGCGATGAGACCATTTCCAAGGCTGACCCTCTTTCAGTGGCAGATTTAAGGGTGCCAGGATGGAGGCCGGGTTACATATGAACATTACATAATAATTCACCACTCTAAGGAAAGACCAAAGCTAAGACATGGGAGCTGGGGCACATTTGATTGCCCTCATTTTTTTCTTCCAATGGGTATAACTCATTCTTGTTGGCTCTGTAGCCGAACTAATTCACTTGGGGTGCCTGGAACACCACACTTTCCCGTCTGAGGTATACGCCCAATGTGGAGAAATGTGTAAGGACTATGTCCAAGTTCTCCAACTGGTCTTTATTGGT